AATAAGTGACAGTTCCACTTGAAAGCTAATACAAACTATTTTCGAGTCAAGATAGTTATAAACTAGGGAAAACTTACATTTTACAAACGACAAACAGAACAGTCGATTCTAGTACATTCAGTAGAAAGGGACCTATAATGCTAACTTTATGATTCCTTAGTGTATGCATTCACGGATATATATTAATCGGGTCCGACAGGTAATAAGATGTGTGCTTTCCGCTTCATTTCTTGTTCCTTGTTTGGTTGTGGGCTTAGAGCAGATACACCCAGCCTACTATCTATCCGAGCTAGCTATATATATGTTCCATATACACCAAGTAATCATAAGGGGTACCATGTATGGGTCAGGTCATAGGACACTAATTCAATGCACAGTTTTCTAGTACAAAACATACTTTTCAAATGAAGAACTTTTGGAATATAAAACTAGAAACTTAACCAGTAAAGGGTTTAATCCATTTTATTAAACCAGTAAAACTTAAAGGAACTTAGGTGGTTAATTCTATAATACCTTAGTTTATACACCAGGGTTATATATAATTAATATCCGATAGGTAGTTGGATGTGTGCTTTCGGCCTCATTCCCTATTCCTTGTTTGGTTGTGGGCTTAGGGCAGATTCACACAATTAACTATATGTTCGATATTAGATTATATATAACTAGTATAAACTAAGTTAACTCTGTGAGTACCGAGTGAATATGCAAGTGTTATATACAACGATGACCTAACAAACAATGGGATGTGTGTCTTCCGCCTCATTTCTTGTTCCTTGTTTGGTTGTGGGCTTAGGGCAGATACACACAACCGATTGTTTGTTTACTCTCAGTTTTATATAACTTGTATACATTTAATACGCATTGAAAGGACTGTTGAGTCATTTTTACTTATCTTTCATCAAAGCAGGAAATATAGGATTTTCTGGAGGAACAGGAAAACTTTTCTAAACAGAACTTACTACAACTTACTACAACTTTCTACAACATTCTACAAACTTTCTTACTACTCACTTACTACATCACTAAATCTTATGAACTCACCAGCTTAAATGTTGATCTACGCTTTCAAAATAACTTGTATTCTCAGGAGACCAGTAGACAGGTACGCGCTCTGGGATTCAGAAGATGGAGCAGTACAGCTTCATGTCTTTTTGTTATTTGCTATGTATTCAATATTATGTGAATCATACTTTGTAAACACTTTCTTTCTAATGAAATGGTTGTTTATTACTTCGCTTACTATGATGCATGACTTGTGATACTAAACATGACGTCCTCCGCCCCAGAACGTTTCCGCCGTTCCGATTTTGGGGTGTGACAAATTCCCTTCTACTACTACTACTGTTGATCTCATACTAAACTCTTCCTAGGCTTGCCCTAGGGTAATCACCAACCCACTCTCCGCCATCAGCTGCATAAGAAGTCTCTGCTACCTTCCCCTAACTAGCTCGTGAAGACTATTACATATCACTAAGACTAGATAATTCTTCAAATGAGAGATCTTGCCCTACAACGGTTGGACTCAAACGAGAGCTGCGCAATAGAGCTAGACATAAACTTCTAAAATTATTTAATCCTCGCAATATGTAACGTAACATATTCATTTACTAGTTAGTGAAAGATAACTAAGACTCCTAAAAGCACAAAGCAAGCAGCATTCGAGCATCGAGTAAACATAATCAAGCATGTCTCTTTCAGACTATCCCTAACTAATACGTACTAGCATGCAGTTCATAAAGCTGAGATACATATAACAGGCACATAAGGCATCCTTCCTAGATCCTTAGTCCTAAACTAGCATGCAATTCTCATAAAGCTGATACACATATAATAGGCACATAAGGCATCCTTCCTAGATTTTTAGTCCTAATCTAGCATGCTGTTCTCATAAAGCTGATAATCATAACATAACATAAACTTGTATGGGTAATTTGGGAGTACTTACTTGAGCTCGGCTGATCGCATGCACCACACCCTTTTCTCTTTTCAAAATTCTTTTCCTTTTCTCAAAGTTCTTTTTATAAAAACGATTTTCTTTTGAAAAATTTCATACCAATTCCTTAGTTTGAGTTCAGACACACCCGAGAGTGTGCCCAAATCCCTCAAACCAAGGCTCTGATACCAACTTGAAACAACCCAAAAATACAGTCCAAAATTTCGTTTTGAAAATTATTATAAAACCATAAACCATCCATAATCATATAGAAACCATGTATCATGTACCCCAAAACATCATATCAAATTATGTGCCAAAAAAATATGATAAAATATCAAAGTAATCTACCAGGCCAGAAAGACTGTGGTGTGTGTCATGCTATCAACCTGAGCCCTTCCATTTGCTAGCTGAAGTACCTGAAACCAAAACTGAAACTGTAAGCACGAAGCTTAGTGAGCTCCCCCAAACTACCACATACCATACACATAACATATAACAAATAGCATAACTCTGGGACTACTCCCAACTACATCGGGACGAACCCGACATCGGCTTACCCGGCATCCGGCTCACCCCTGCATCAGACTACGTCTGGCATCGGGCTCACCCCGGCATCGAGCTTGCCCCGACATCGGGCTTACCCCGGCACATACACAACATAGCATATATCATAAACATATAACAAAACATATAAACTGCATCGGGCTTACCCCGGCATCGGGCCGAAGCCCGGAACACATAATTGATAACGTATAAATTAACATGCATCGGGCTTGCCCCGGAACACATGAAACATAACATGCATGAATCACAGAGACATCAAGCATACATATACTCTTCTCGGGACCGCCCCGACATCAGACCGAAGTCCGGAACTACTAACATCTAAATGGGTCGGCATTGTGGCCTTAGACCCGATCCTACTGGAGAGAAACTCACCTCTCAATCTGGCTGCTGAAAACTCGTGCAAGGTAACTCTGTCTGCTACTCCAACTACTCTCCGGCTATTATGACCAAATAAACACTTAGTCAAAAACTGAGAATCCCACTAAGGGTAAAATGACCATTTTACCCCTGTTCTAACTTTGGGCCATATCTAAGACCCAATTCCAACTAGTCCTTATAAGTCCACTCATGGCCCACTAAGGCCCGCTAATGGCCCAATTTTCTAAATTGGGCCTAACTTCTCAAATGGGCTTTTCCTCACAAGCACAACAGGTCCTTGGGCCCTTGACTGACTTCTGAAGGCCCATCTCGGCCCAACTATTGCTATATCCAAAGTCTGGCCCAAACTGAGGCCCAATAACATAAAGCTCACTGACTGAGCGTATGCTGAGCGTAACCTTTTGTACGTTGCGCGTACTGCTTGAATGGCTTGTACGTTGTGCGTACTGACATGTACGCCCAACGTACTCTCCTGTTAAGCCATTTTCTCCAAAACTGCTTAATCCCTTAAGACATTGCGTCCAAACTACAGATCTGAGTCCAATACTTCATCCTAACCCATAAAGTCGATCACTTGGTGGCTTGCAACCCACCAAATGAACCCAACTCTAAAAATAGCAATAAACTTCCATGGAAATGGCTACATCTCATGCATGGCTACATAAAATCCTCAAAGCTTGCAACTTTACTGCTTAAGGGACACTTTGAGCTTCAAGGGTGGCAACCCTAAGCTCAAAAACGAAGTTGCATGAACAATATCCATTCTTTGGACCTAAAAAGGTCCAAAGCTTCAAAACCCTAGATCTAAGCTTCTAAGAGGCAAGTTCAAGACTTTATACCTCAAGAAAGTCTGAAATGAAGCAATAACTCCATATCTATATCTTCTCCTTTGATCCCCCACCTTGCTATGCTCTTCACTTGCTTGGAAAAATGGCTTTACTACCCCAAAATGCTCTCTAATGGCCTCCAAAGCTCCAAGGACACTCAAAAGGTGGTTTAGGGTTTCGTGGTGGCTATATAAAGATGAGAGGGAGGCTGACCCCTGAGGCACATTATTCCTTTTATAGTGACATAGCCCTAAAACTAGGGTTTAGTGGCTCTGAGTGTATGCCTCTCCGCACCCACGGCCATTCTCACTTATACGCCGGGCGCCAGCTTACGTTGGGCGTACCTAGTCGGACACGCGCATGCATCCTTGCATGCATGGGACTTACTTGCCAAACATTTCCACTAGGGACCATTTATGCCAATAACCTCAAAGTGCTAAAACTCCTTCATTCTAAGTCTGTTTCCGACGAACTTTGTATCCACGAAAAGGTGGCGAGAAGCTCTACGCTCCTAACTACACACACAAGCCTTAAAACCTTTCGAATAAAACCCGAGACTCATAAAAGACCGAATCGCTTATACTCGAGGCCTCCGAGACCACAACAACCGAAGTACCTGTCAAAACGAGGTGTTGCAGTAAATGAGGATTGTGGACTTATAAAATATAAATACATTTTCCAATGTTTTGTGTATAAAAAAGTGTTTAGAGATTTATGAAAAATAGTATAATTTAATATAACTTTTTATAACATCTTTTATTTATTATTAATAACACATATTTATTTGTCAATTATGATTTGCACTTAGTTTAATCATTTGTGTTTTATGCATATTTCTTATGTTATATTACTTTCTATCTCAAATAAAACAATGATATTCCATGGTTGATTGTTTTTTTTATTAAATTTTATATTTGGTTATACACCAATGATCATTTTATAATTAATTTTGACGTGAAGAACACATTCTTCATATTTTCAAACCATTTTACATATTCGTCTAAATGACGATATAGTTATGGATAAAACATTAAATTTCGTATAAAAATAAATGTTTACAAATCTACGTTTAATCATTATGATTTTGTAATCGTACATTATTTCACTTTATTTTGTGAACCAATTTAATAAATTAAGTACTTTTATATTTTTCTTGGCATATATTAATAACTTTTTAGTACATTAAACATATATTTGAACATAAGTCAACACAGCCTTAAGCAAAGTAGCAAACAACATTAGTCAATACTCAACAGTCAACACAGCCTTACGACAGAACTGCATTAACGCATTCAAAGTTCCGATTTCGTCTCCGCATCAGACAGCAGCGCAGATGGTTTTCCGGCACCAATGCTCACCACCTTCGGCCTTTTTATCTGGTCCGGTGTCAATTTCCCGATCGAAATCGTCAACACTCCGTCCTCAAGCCTCGCATTCACCTTATCCAGATCGAGATTTTCAGGTAACCTAAACTGTCTCCAGAACTTTCCATACGACCGTTCACAGCGGTGCCAGTGATCACCACCACCGTCTTTCTCCACCTCCTCCTTCTCCTTCTCCCTCCTCCGCTCTCCACTAACTCTCAAAACCCGATTCTCCTCCACCTCAATCTTCAACTCTTCCTTCTTCATCCCAGGAACATCCATCGTGATGACATGATTATCGCGTGTCTCCTTCCAATCCACTCTCGCCGGCAACACAATCACTTCATCGTCTAGCTCGATTCCAAACGGAATCTGCTCCAATTCTTTAAAAGGGTTCGAAAACAGATCGGATCTGATGAGATCGGACAACAAACTGCTTCCGATTGGATCAGGATGGTGATCGAGTAACGATAACAGAGATCCGCCACATTGTCCGGCGAAGAACAGATACAACATTAATGCTGATAGTGCGATTGTTCTCATGGTGCAAGGTATGGCCTCTTAATTCGTGTAACGTTGCTTAATTAGCTTAGATGAATGTATGCTGTTATGGTGGGATTGTTTAATGGAGTTTACGGTTTATATACACGTAGAAAATTTCTTGAAAGTTCTGGGGTTAGTGTAAAGCAAGAAGTAGGTAGAAGCTTCCATATGCATCTTCATGAAGTTCTGAGGTGACTCTGGAATATGGTAAAATATATTCTCAACAAAAGTGTTTTGGTAGTTTGACAGTAAAATATGATCGTTGTTTTTTAATATGGAATTTAAGATCAAGATTCATCCCCTTAGTAATTTTCATATAAAATTTTAATTTGAAAAATTGTAGCAAATCAATCAGCACCATTTAAAGAATTGATTTTATATATATAACTAGTTTATAAGCCGTGGGAACCACGATTATAAAATTAATTAAATTTTTATAATAAAAATTTATAACTATTAATCAGTTATTTTAAATAACTCATTTTAAATAAATTATTAATTAAGATATATATCAAAATTTTAAAGTTATTATAACTTCAAATTTAACATATAATTAGAAAATGTAAATTTTAAATTTTGAAATGAGTTGTCTAATATATCTCAATGACACATAGCATAATATTAATAAGGAGTTGTATTAGAGTAATACTTGGCAAAAAGAGATTAAAATTATTCATTTATTAGAATAGGGATTTGTTTTGATATGAAAGTAGTCTAATCAAACATTTTTTTGGGTCATGAGGGTTAATCTGCAATTTTTGTTGATAATAAGGTAGAAACTATTTACCGAATGGAAAATTTAAATTAAAATATCAAATAAATAAAAAAAACTCCTAAAAAATGATAGCTAGTTAGAAAATTTATATAAAATATAAATTGAAATATCAAATTAAGTAAGAAAAACCATCCAAACAAATAGTAATTAAAACAAAATAACTCTAAAATAATAATAATAATAACTAGAAAGGTTATCCCCGCTACGCGGGGGCCATAAGCTTTCAATGTTGTTTCCGAATCGATAAATATGACAGACGTAGAAAGTGCAAGGATGATAAGCCCGGGCTTTGCCCCAGACCGTTTTGTTCATGTTTTTATGAAAAAATGTAAAAGTTTTGACTGCAATGACCAAAAGTGTCAAAATGGCTAAAGAATTAAAGCGGTAGGAATTAGCAAGTTTTTAGAAAAGGGATCAAAGTTGTCGAACCGTTAAAGTTTTGTGGCCAAACTTTAAATATTAAAAGGTTCCTAAATAGAAAAGGGATCAAAGTTGTCAAACCGTTAAAGTTTTGTGGCCAAACTTTAAATATTAAAAGGTTCCTAAAAAATATAAAAATATCGATTATAGGGACCAAAAGTGTGAAAATGGCTAAAAAATGAGGACCAAAGTTGTCAAACCGTTAAAGTTTTGTGACCAAACTTTAAATATTAAAAGGTTCCTAAATAGAAAAGGGATCAAAGTTGTCAAACCGTTAAAGTTTTGTGGCCAAACTTTAAATATTAAAAGGTTCCTAAAAAATGTAAAAATATCGATTACAAGGACCAAAAGTGTCAAAATGGCTAAAAAATGAGGACCAAAGTTGTCAAACCGTTAAAGTTGTCAAACCGTTAAAGTTTTGTGGCCAAACTTTAAATATTAAAAAGTTCCTAAATAAAAAAGGGATCAAAGTTGTCAAACCGTTAAAGTTTTGTGGCCAAACTTTAAATATTAAAAGGTTCCTAAAAAATATAAAAATATCGATTACAATAACCAAAAGTGTCAAAATTGCTAAAAAATGAGGACCAATGTTGCCAAAGTACAGGGACCAATTCTGCCAAAAAAAACAACATAAAGTCCAGGGACTAAAATAGACAAAAATTGTGGAAGTTCACTAGTCATAAGAAACAATTTCCATAATATAATAATAATAATAATAATAATAATAATAATAATTAAAACATATAAAATTAAATTTTATATTATGATATTTAAAAAAAAAGACAAATGGCATGAAAATCATTGTGTTATAAGTTAGGGGCTGTTTGATTTATGTCTGACCGAGTCGGGTCAGACGTATTTGGCTGACTCGGTCAGCTGAGGTTGTTTGTTAAACCAAATTAGGCTGGCTGACTCGGTAAGAGAAGTCTGGGCGAGAAAGCTAAGAACAATCGCTGACTGTGAATCTTTTCCTAATCTGTCCTTGTCTTACCGTTCCTTCTCTCCCTTTCTTTCACTCCCGGTTTCAACCATTTTGAATGATGCCTCCTTTAAAACGATCGATGAGAGTATTTTAGGTTAAGGATAAAATAACTTTCCCTGCAACTTTTAATTGCAGGTTCAACAACAGAAAACGACGCATCCTCTACTATTGTTGTGTCGCTGAAGAGAAGAAACAGATCCATGTTTCTAAAAATGGCAAAGCTGGTCCCTGAAGCTCTTCATGTTGACATAACCTACCATAATACTAATTTATATTAAATAAAAATTGTTCATTATTAAAAACACAAAAAAGAAAAAGGTTGTTTGTGAATGGATAAATAAACTAGAAAATGTTTTATAGTTTTTTTATTTAAGTTTCATGTACATCTTGTATGCTTGTAATTACTTTTTTTTATAATTTTTGGATTTATTTTTCAGCAATTTCATCCATCACTGTCAGCAGGGTAAAATGGTCATTTTTAATCAGTCAGCACATTCAGTTAGATGTACAATCAAACAACATGGTTTCTTACTCAGTCAGGATTTGTTACCCATACAGATCTTTCCCAGTCAGCACTTTCTCAATCAGCAACTATCAAACGGCACCTTAGTGTTTTTTGATATCTCATTAAATTTTATTGACAAGCCGAAAATCAATTTATTAAATTTTTAATCAATCATCAATCATCATTTTATATATAAAAGAAAAAATCGAATTGAGCATCACTATATTGTATATTTCGAATCACTATATTGTATATTTCGAATCGAACTTTACTTTATCATTTTCTTTAAAAAAATCCAACATCGCTTTGATACGTGACAAACTAGGTACCTGGTTAAAAGAAAATCTTCAAAAATAGTCACTATGGTTTCCAAAAAAATCGAGTTAGTTTTTAACTTTTTAGGACATCAATGATGGTCTTTGTGGTTTAAAAACTCTTGTTGGTCCTTTTGGCTAATTTCGTCAATTTTTTTTTCTGTTAAGTCTAAACATATGCTTGCCATATGAGGGTAAAATCGTCTTACCATACCAAAAGGAACAATCTTAAAATTTAGGGTTAAAGAGCCCACAAAAGGGATCACAAACTCCAACTCCAAGTCACAGACCATTCTTGAACTTGTATGCGTCCGCTATCCCTCTCCAAAATTGATCGTCAGGAATGAAATAATTCTTCAATCAATCACCAAGCCCTTCTCTCCTCACACCTACTTTTGATTACATGTATTAGGGATGACCATCGAAACTGAGTACCGGCTTTTAGAATCGGAACAGCCTCGAAACTGCCTTAAGCGGTTCCGGTTCCGGTTCTTATTTTTACGGAACCGCTACCCGTCGGGTACCCACCGAAACTGGTGTGTATGCATGTGTGTGTGTGTGTGTGTATATATATATATATATATATATATATATATATATATATATATATATATATATATATATCACAATTACATACTTTACACGGTATCTTGAATATCTTGAACGATATCATTTAAAATTTTAGGATTTTGAGTAATTTGTTTTAAACTTTTAAAGGTTTTAAGAAACATGCACATATTTTTTCGTCATCTTCTTCAAGCTACTGATATTTTCTAATCTTTACTTTTAATACGTAGCGAATTATGTATTGATGTTATACATAACTTTCTTGTAGGTTTACAAAAATATATACTTTAATACGTTTTAAAATTCACAAATTTAACGAACCGGGTACCCGTTATTGGAATCGCTACATACCGATTCCGGTTCCAGTTCCAACATTTTAGGAACCACCAATTCCGATTCTGATTCTAGATAATCAGGGTGCGTACCCGCTTACGCTCATCCCTAACATGTATACCCTCCCTTTTCATTATTATTGATTCGATCACAACCCCTCTTTCTTCTTTCATTTTCATGTGTTTTTTGTAGGTTTAGCGGGTTGGAGATGGAGAAGGGTTATTGTGTCGGTTGTGATGGTGTGTGGAGGTTCAAGGGTGGTCTTGGAGGTGGGTGAACGATGGATGGATTCGAGAAATAAGGTTGGCTTCTGGGTTGTCGAGGTGATGATGGTGGTGATTAGGTTTGATGAAGTTAGTGCTTTTTTGTGGCGTTATGGCAGGGGATGGAAAAGGGTGGTGTTATGATGGGTTGTTTTGGAGAAATAAGGGTAGAGTGAAGTTGTCGAGGGCTAAAGGTGAGGGTATGGTGGGTTTTCACGGAGGTATAAGGTGGGCATATGTTGGTGGTGGACGGAGGTATAAGGTGGGAATGACAGCTGATTGAATGTGACTGCAATGATTGGGTGATGGTTGTGATAAATTTTATGGATTCACTATAATGGAAGGATAAGGGTGGTATTGGGTGGTGTTTGGTAGTTTAGAAAAAGGTGAAAGAGGGTGTTTGGTTGTGGCTATGGTAGACGAGGGTGATGGTGAAGATGACTTCAAATCCTGAATTTAGGCCCGATTTTTTCAAACTCACACACCCAAAATATTTTGCATTCTTCAATTGCTTTCATGAATCACCAATTGTTATTCCTTCATAAATCTGGATTGAGTTTTTCGGGAGCCTAGATTCAGCGGAGTTTCAATCAAACTTTAGTCTCACCGTACTAATCCCAACCACTTTCAGTCAACTCGACAATATTTAACTTTTAGTGATCACTAGAACAGAATTTTCTAGTGGTTTACCGGCTAACATCGGTAACTTGACTCATTTGAAAAGATTGGTGTTATCGGAAAATGGGTTCATAGGCGAAATCAGAGACAATTATGGTTATTTAAACGACTTATTAATCTTGGACTTGAGTAGAAACTCATTATCGGGGACTTTACCATCAAT